TAGTCCGGGCATGACCAAAAGGTAGATCCCCAGATGTTTTAAAACCACAGCTTCCATGATGCCTTGCCATTCTGAAGGCATTCTAAAAGCTGTAGTTATACAACATCTGGGTATCTACCTGCCAGAGACATTAATGATTACTTCTGATGATAAATCATATCAAAAGTTTTTCTAATAGATTGTGATCATTTGAAAAGCACATCCAAAAGAATTAAAGTGAGGACCAAGTTGGAAAAATTGGTAAGCAGAATTTTTTTACTTTGTGTTACTGTCTATAATTTGCAATGACCTTGTCTGTTTCAAGTTTGAGGACAAAAGTCTCACGATTCAATAATTCTTAGAAATGGCAGTGGGAACATTTTTGGTTTAAAAAAAAAATCTTTTTGTGTGGCATTTGGCAGTTTACATTTCTATTGTGTACTTGCAGTTTGCAGTTTGTTAAAGTCTAAATGTTTTAAGTGACTTCCAAACATTCAGTTCTTGGTTTACTAATTCTCTATTTTCAGATTATATTTGTAGACAGTTAGACTGTAATATAAGTGGACATGGTGCGTTCCTGAGTGGATAAATTATTCTTTTGTTAAATAAAAATAGTAAATATGCCTTGGTTAAAAAATAATGTTTTTTTAATGTGATATGATATTATAAATCCAATACTGTACTAGAACGACGAGTAGTGGAGAGGACAGCTAACAACATGCTTCATTTTCTGTAACAACAGCAAACAATAAATACAGTAAAAATGGACCACATTCCTTGTACGTTATGTCAGCTACAGACAGTCTTCTAGTTCCTTATTAGTCAAATGAGGGAAAAAAAACATCTGGTGGTGAAGCATCTACGACATGTCCTTGTTTGTAAAGATGCCTTAAAAGAGCAAATTTTTAGTTTAGGAGAATTACACAATGCATCATGCAAAATCCCTAACTGGTGAACAACTAGGTATATAATGTATAGGTGTAGCATCAGTTACTGGTTACATTACATTAGATTCTCATATCTCCCAAGTGCCCCTATTTAGGGGGGACAGTCCCTATTTTGGGCCAAGATCCCTCTGTCCCTCCTTTCTTTTCAAATATTATTTATTGAAAAAACTATTTTTTAAATATATACCAATCAAACATATATCCAATGAACGAATAACACAATATACGTCTACATATATAACAATATATTTTCCCACTTTTCTATACTAATGTCCCCCTTTTCAAGGAGCTCCATATTGTTGGCGTGTATGAGTGTATATCAGAACTCTGCAGCAATAATAATCACAGTAATGTGTATTCTAACTAAAAAGTGTTTATAAATCAGTTCAGTGTAACTAAGCTCAGCTGAGTAAACCAGGAAGTAACAGGACTTGATGTTTATAGAAATATATAATCAGTAGAAACAAAGAACGCAAATAGTATAACATTGCGTGCCTGGGCACACCCTAGTCCCCACGGCACGCCTATGTATATTGAGACCGGCAGGGGAGATCTCAGGATCTCCCCTGTCGGCTCATGCAGAGCCGGCACTATCCAAGCGCCGGCTCTGCTCTCAGCCTCCCTTCCCACCGACCCACATGCAGGGAGGGAGGCAGGAGAGGACCGGCGGAGCTCTTGCCAGTAGCTCCGCCGGGTTCCTCTTGCGAGATATGAGTATTGCCACGGCAACTCTCAAATCTCGCGAGAGTGAACTCTAGCCCCACAGGTTCACTCTCCACTGGACCACCAGGGAAGGCAGCAGCAGCAACAAGGATCCCCCCTCCCAGGCATAAGGTAAGAAGGGAGGGGGAATATCAAGTAATGCACCCCCACCTCTTCCCCCATAATCACCCACACACATACAGCACATACACCCACACATACAGCACCCACAGACATACACAGCACCCACAGACATACATAGCACCTACACACATACAGCACCCACAGACATACACAGCACCAACACACATACAGCACCCACAGATATACACAGCACCTACACACATACAGCACCCACAGACATACACAGCACCAACACACATACAGCACCCTCACAAACACACACAGCACCCTTGCACACAGCACACTAACAGTACCCTCACAAACACAAACAGGACCCTAACAAACACACACAGCACACTACCAGTACTCTCACACACAGTACATTAACAGCACCCTCACAAGCGCACATACACACACACACACACACACACAAACAGCACCCTCAGAAGCGCACAAACACCCTCACCCACATAGCACACTACCAGCACCATCACACTAACAGCACCCTCACACAGCATACACACACACAGCAGTGTGTGTATGTGTGTATATATGTGTGTGTGTGTGTATGTATATATACACATACATATATACAGGGACGTATTAGCCGCGAGGCAAACAAGGCATTTGCCTTGGGCGGCATTTTTCAGGGGGCGGCAAAAAACGCCGCCCCCCAAATGCCCAGGGCAAATGCCTTGTTAGCCTTGCGGCTAAAACAGACATGCTGGGGGCTGGGCAATGCTGGCTGATGGTTGGGCGGGCGGCTGGCGAGGGAGCTCTTCCTCTGAGCGGTCTGCTCAGCTCCCTCGCGCGCCGCAGAGTAAGGCTGGGAGCCGGGTTGATGACATCATATTCCGGCTCCCAGCCTCACTCTGCGGCGCGCGAGGGAGCTGAGCAGTCAGCTCAGAGGAAATGCTCCCTCGCCAGCAGCCCGACCGGCAGCCACTGGACCATCAGGGAGAAAGCGAGAGAACCCCCAAAGGTAAGGAGGGAGGGGGGGGCGGGTTTAAATTAAAAAAAAAAAAGTGTTAATGTGAGAGAGAGAGAGAGAGTGTGTGTGTGTGTGTGTTTTTTTTAGAAGGTGGGGGGGTGCCTGAGTTTTGTCCTGCCTAGGGCAGCACAAAACCAGGATACACCACTGCATATATATATGCGGCATGTGCTTGTGCTTTAGGGTGCACACCCTAATGCAATAGGCTGCGCACGCCTATGTAACATTGTATAACACCAAAAAATGTTAAGGTGGTATATTGCACACACAAAGGTACAATTGATTGTAGGCACATAGAATGGCTTTAAATATGGGACCTTCTTTTCTTCTCTGTTCCCACATCTAATACATGAAAGGAAAGAGACATACACATAGTGTAGCAATATAAACAAAATTAACAGCTTTATTTAGGTTGCACTCACAGGATAAAAAGACATATATAAAAAAATACATCAACATCTCACTCTTCCAAGGCCAGGAAACAGATGAGGTTCCACAGGTGCAGGAATGGTTGAGCAGCAAAAGTTAAGTCACCCAGACCGCTTCAGCTCAATGAAGTGGTCTGGGTGCCAGGTCCCTCAGAGAAACTGTTATGTTTACATTGCAGGGTTAAGCCAGCCTCTAGTGGCGCATCTGTGACGCTGGAGGCATATTATATTATGCCTCCATCGCGCAGAGCATCCATAGGAAAGCATTGAGAAATGCTTTCCTATGGACACTTTGAATGCACGTGTATTCCCACTGAGGGAGCTGACGTCGTTGGGGGAGGAGAGGTCACCAGCGCCGAATGAGCCCAGCACTGGAATAATGTATGCGCCACGGGAGGGGGACCCTGAGGGTGGGGGCACCCTCAGGGCACTATAGTGTCAGGAAAATCGCTTTGTTTTCCTGACACTATAGTGATCCTTTAAATGTAGAAAATAAAAAAACATTAATAAAAATGGCATTATATAAATTAAAAGTCTGAACATTATGTTGTGTATCCCAGCCTTACATGTTTCATCCAATGAAGGACTTCCTCAGGGTCATCCAAAGTGTGAATAAAAATCCTTCTTCTAGTCAATTTAAAAAGCCTATCTTCACGCCAATAGCCAATCGGGAGCAGCGCCTTCTTATGAACCACCTGTATTCACTGATTGTGACTTTGCGTCTCAAGCCTCTCTTGCAGATGGAGAGTGTGAGATGCTTTGATATTAACCTTAACCCCTTAAGGACCAAACTTCTGGAATAAAAGGGAATCATGACACGTCACACATGTCGTGTGTCCTTAAGGGGTTAAACATCACTTCGATTTCAGAAACATTCTTAAAATTCAAAGAAATATTTACAGAAAATTAATTAGTTTTCGGAAAAAATCCAAACACGTTCAGGTTGAAAAAATATAAAGTTCCTTGCCAGAGCATGTGCTGCTACTAAAGTTTGTGTCAAGTTTCCTTTGGGATTAATTAGTATGTCACCCTTTGAACAGTAAAGAATCAATTAGATTTTCAGATCTCGGGAATAATACATAGTATCATAAAAAATTGCATGCTCAAGGTGTTAGAAGGTTTACAATCCCCTTGCATATATTGCCAAGTTTTTTTAAATGAATGTAAACTTATATTTAAAAATAACAACTTTCTAGGAAGGCTTTACATTTCTACACGTAGAAAAATGTAGCTGTTTGCATAGTTCTTCTGATCGGTATTTATTGGCTGAGATGGTGTTTCTCAGATCACGGACAGTAAAAATTGTTATGGAGATTTTCAATAACTAAATCCATATTGCAGGGGAGGAAAAAACTCCCAGTTCTTACCTTTCCCTCCTCATGTTCTATCTAGTTACAGAGCTAGAGTATATGCCCAACCACACTCAGAACATCATATGGGAAGCACAGCTTCCCCTTGACTCATACAGGTTCTTGTACGCTACGCACATAAATGGCAGTTATACGTAATGTCATTTCTGAGTGACTTGTACAAGCTCTCTCATAGAAAGGTCTGCTGCCTGCTCTTTAGCTTTCAGTAGACCGTTTACAGCTGAACTAAGTATTTTGGAAACATTTTCTATGCAGGATGTTATGGGATAGACAATAAAAAAAACAGTTGAAGGGAAGTGGCCTGAGGTCCGAGCAGCATGGCCGCCTAAATCCTGAGTTCCTCGCCACCACGCTCCTAAAAGCCACTTATCACACACACACCGACCCTGATGGGGCGCACAAAGCGAGCGGAGCACCCGCAGACCCCAGAGCTGCACCCCAGGCGTCCTCCTCGGGCGCGATGGACGGGTTTCTTCAAACCCCGCTGGGGTCTAGCCACGACGCGCACGGCTCCAAGATGGCGCCCGTCTCCACTGCCTCCTCCAGCTCGGATCAGGAGCAGCCCATGCTGGCAGATATAGGAACAGAGATTAGGCGCCTGGCAAGTAACATGGTCACAAAAGCTGACCTGCAATCACTCACCTCTACTCTCACAGCATCCCTCACCTCAGCAGTGACTGCACTGAGGACTGACATGGAGGCACAGGGTAGCCGGATACAGGCTTTGGAAACACAGGCCCAGACCACACGACGCCAAACATCAGCAGCTGACACAGCCCTTACAAGACAGGGCAACATGCTACTGGCCCTGCGCCATCAGGTAGAGGACCTGGACAACAGGAGCCGACGCTCCAACATCAGGGTAAGAGGGGTACCTGAGCAAGAGGGAACAGAAAACGCGGAGGCCCTGCTGACCGGGCTATTCCGACAGATACTAGGGGGAGAAGCGCCAGCGGAGATACGCTATGAACAAGCGCACAGGGCCCTGAGACCCCGACTCCGAGAGGGGGACCCCCGAGATCTCATTTGCTGCCTTCACTCCTTCCCCCTAAAGGAACGGATAATGCGCACCGCCAGAACACGGCCCACATGGCATTACTAGGGCACTTAGGTCTCTATACCAATACCTCTCCCCTGCCACGTTAGAAGCGCGACGAGCCCTCAGACCCATAACAGCTGCCCTCAGGGAACGCAATATCCCATATCAGCATACAGGTGCGCCATCGCAATGAGTGGGTAGCCGCATGCTGGCAGGATGAAATCCCAAGTTTCCTGCAGCATTTGGATTTACCACCTATAGCTGTGCCGGACTGGATCTTGGAACCACTGGATAGGGAACCCAGACCCCAGAGGCCACCACCTGACTAACCCAGAAGAATAGCTGGCTGCAGCCGGGAACAAGCCCACCTGTGACCTGATAGCCCAGTAGGTCTACACAAGAAGGAATCCTAGTGAAGGGCTACCCATAAGCTACACCGGTCCGGGTGGGCACCGGGCCTACCACTTGTAATTTTTTATTCTTTTTCTTTTATTATTTTTCTCTTTTGTCTCTTTGGGTGGGGGACGGGAATAGATTTACCCGTACTGCTGCCATGGACCGGGTGGGAGGCTTCCTCGTCTCACTGCGCAGGTCAAGATACAGGTCTATCACCCCCACATGTCTCACTATTTATCAATATTATATGGGACGACGAGTCCCATCTACAATTTAAACCTTCAGGTTAGCTATACCACAGACGTTATAATGACCCCTATCCGCCTAGACGATACCCCTAGGCTATATGCAACCACTATGATGACAGGCGAATCTTGCCCATGTACTACACAATCACTACCTGGCTCACCCAGTGATGAAACACTCACCCCTTGATGTACGACCATAAGATGCAGATGTTTGCATATTTACTACATGTAACATAACGAAGTTACCGATACTGATACTATACTACCTTCTACTTATTAATATTGTTTTGGTTTTCATTCCTTTATAATCATATGGCTGCTCCCGATTTTGCGAGACCTGCGTGTCTCCTATTTTGCTATCCTATCGCACTGTTGTACATTTTCGATGACACAAATAAAAGCCGTTTGAACCGAAAAAAACTGTTGAAAATCCATGATTCGCCATGAGTTGTCAGCCATTTTCTTGTCTCTGCAAATTGACTATTTTTGATTGTATTTCTTTTTATGTATTTGTGTTGTTGTAGGCTTTTTACTTGACAAATAGGGTCACTTCTGGTGTAGCCAGAGCTCGGTTACACATAAGGAGGTATAGGCAGCTACTTAATGCCAGTGCTAAGACAGGGGTATGGTGGGGCTGTTTTGGGGCTCCTGTCCCAACATAAACAGATCCTGGGACCTGCCAAACTAGATGGATGTTCCCCCATGAAGCTGCACGGTGGCACTGTGCTGCAAGGAAGTGATTACACTTCCTCCTGGGTCACTTAGAGCAGCGCAGGGGAAGGACACAGAGAGGAGGAGGAGGATAAGCAGCTCTGTTCAGAGAGTGTGGGGAAAGAAGAAGGAATAGTGAGGCATCCAAGCAGCTGCTTTTTAGTGTGTACTCTGTATGGAACAGTCTGTGTTTGTGTGTGTGTGTGGGTTAGTCTATGTGTATGGATGGGTCAGTCTGTGAAAGTGTGTGGGGGGGTCAGTCTGTGTGTGTGGTCAGCGTGTGTCATGCTGAGCCGGGCTGCTGGTTCACTAAAGAGTTCCAGAAGACCATTTACCTGGGAACTAGCCTGGCCACTCTTATAGGACTTCCTTAAATACTTCCTCATTTTGAGACCATTGTAGGATCCCTCCCTATGCTAGCCCATTTATTGGTAAGTAAAACGAAGTACATGAACGTAGCATAGACTAAAGTACTAAGTATTATTATTATATAGTGATTCTGACCACAGTGACCAATCTCAAAAAGACTGACAGTCAATATTTTATCTGTGGAGTCCTTACACAACAAAAACTGAATATGGGAAAATCAGAACTCTGAGAAAGGACACAAGATTAGGAAATCAGCTAGAGGAAATCAGTAGCTTGTCCTTCGGTAAATCCCCAGTCAGGTCTCAAAATAGTTTTTGCTCACTTGTGCCATTACAGAGAGAATATATTCCATTGCATGTCAGTCTGGTCGAACTCAAAATGGCAGCTGTGAGCTGCAATGCTGGCGACTTCACTCTGCAAGAGAGATATAACAACCTTGGACGATCGTTTCAACCTTCTTTGGGCTTTGTCAGTAAGGTTTAGCTGATACTCCTCTAGGCACCCTGAAAACAAGGTCCACATCTATGTTACCCTTTTAACTTGGGGAGAGCCAAGTCATTGCACTGCAAAAAAAACAGAGACTATGAGAACTCACAGAATGAACAGCTTAGAGAAACTCCATAGCTTGTCCTGACACACACTCACTGACTGTAACGTTCACTAGGGAACCCAAACACGCAGACAGGACAGAGTAGAGAGGCGCGGGGGCAGTGGACCTGAAACCGACACTTTGATACTCCTAATGCATGTGTCATTGTTTGTGTGTATGTCCATATGGGTTAGTCTGTGTGTGAGTATGTGTTAGTGCATGTGTCAATGAGTGTTTATGTGTATGGGTCAGTGTTTAGGTCAACGTGTGTCTATATGGGTCACTGTCTGTGTTTTCCAGTAAATATGTGTGCATTTGCATATGTGGGTCAGTGTGTGTGAATGGATCAGTCTGTGTGTTTTTATGGGTCAGTCCGTGTGTGTGCATGTTTCTTTCAGTGGGTGTGAGTATGTCAGTGTGTGTCAGTGAGTGTGTGTGTGTCAAAGAGTGTACATTTCTGAAATAGTTTCTTTGAGGTATATTTAAAGTTTTTTTTGATAATCTTTATTTATAGATATTTTTTAGTATATTCCAAGAAAAAGTAGACATAGAATGCATCAAAGTAAGCATGCAGGCTTCTCAACATAAAGCGTAGGTTCTAAGTACAAACATACAGTGTTATGTAATATTACACCTTCAGTCGTTGGTACTCTTTATCATTGTTTACTGTACTGCCATTTGGCAGATAATATCAATGCGTGCATAACTGCAATAGGTCACAGGGTTAGCCACAGAGGTAGCACAATGTTCAATGGTCTCTGAGAGCGTGTCAACCCCCATAGCATTGCCACCAATCTAGCACCAAGTAACGTAGGGGTGGGTCCCTGATGAGAAACAGTTTGAATGTATGGTCCCTATCCAAAGAAGCCAAGCCCTCCCAGTGCCAACTCCCCGCAGGTCCGGAGGTTACTACACCTCACAGATCACAAGCCATGAAGAGCAACCATGGTTCCCATGCTTCCCGGGTTTGGTCCTCCTCCCTGTCAGTGAGGCATTCAGCGCCTCTGCTGCCTGAATGTCCTCAACCCAACGTTTCCACTCTTCCCTAGTGGGGACCTTGGTCCATTTCCAAAAGACCGGGATGAGGGCCTTAGCCGCGTTTTGTAAGTGTCGTAAGATCGTTTTCTTATATAGTAAAACAGGTTGCAGTAGAGCTAGTTCAGCTGACCATTTGGTGAAGTTTCCTAGGAGTCTCCTAGGATTGCGGACACATCCTCTTTTATCCTCTCCGAGTATGGGATGATGTTCCAATATTCCCACGTCAGTGGGTCAATGGGGACAGTAATGCCTAATCCCATTGCGATGGAGAAAGAGTCCTGCTGAGGAGGGCTTCCCATTGCCTTTGAAAAGTATTGTTTGTCGCATGAGATCCTACCAGTAGGCATTGATATAGCGTTGGGAGTGCCTTTTCAAGCGTAGTGCCTCGCACACAGAGGTCCTCAAACCAGGTGAGCTCCCTGTGCAACCGTTTCTTATGCGGGAGCAAGTTATAACAGTGTGTTAGTTGCAGATATCAGAGGGAGGTCAGGGATGATCACGACCTACCCTCCAACAGCGAGTTGAGATCCTCTAGTGTCCCATCTTGGAGAGCTTTATAGATAGGGATTAATTTGCTATTGTTTGTTACCGAGAGCAGGGGACTGGGTGAAGACGAGACTTGCGGCAGTTCTCTGACCGATTTCCAGGTTCTCAGGGCTTGCGACAGCGGTTCCCCACATCTCCACCAGGCTCCCTAGCCATACCGCCAATGCCCTCTCTGTCCAAGGCTACCCATTGTTTTTGCGCGGTGCCCATGTGGCATTCGAGAATAGGCTGCAGGACCGTGGCCTGATGATAGTTTTTAAAATTGGGCAACACCAGTCCTTCCCCTAGGCAGGCAGAGCAGCTTGTGGCGTAGTAGAGATCATTCTCCCCGCCACACATATTTAATGACTGCTGTTTTCAACACAGAAAAAAAGGACGGTGGCAGCGCTAGTGGGAGTATATTTATTTTGATCACTGCTACTCGCCCATGCCATGTCACTTGCGGCTACGCCCATCTGTCCAGGTCGGCCAACAGTGTTTTCAGCAGGGGTACAGTTATGTTGGTAGATGTCTCGTGGGTCTGTGGTTACCCAAATTCCTTTACTTTGGCAAAGCACCAGTGGAATGGGAATAGCGAATCTAAGTCAATGTAGTCCGTGATGGGGAGCATGATGTTCAGCACTTCACATTTCAATAAGTTGAGAGAAGGCAAGGCAGTGTGGTCCGGGGGTTAGATACAAAAAAGAGGAAGTAATCTGCGTATGCGGCAACCTTGTGTTCTAACCCCTGCCATGTATAGCCCCACATGTCATGGTTCCGGCAGATCATCTGTAGTAGCGGTTCCAGGGACATAGCGAACAGCAATGGGGAGAGAGGGCATCCCTGCCTCGTTCTGTTGCTAATTCCAAAATCAGCCATCAAGGCCCTGTTGACCCTCACCGAGGCACATGGCTTGTTGTATAAGGCGGAAATCCAGGTGAGACATCTCTGTCTCAAGTATGAGTCTCAAGTATGAGTATCTTCCTCAATGTGGCTATCATATATGACCAATTGACACGGTCGAACGCCTTCTCAGCATCAGTTGATAGTAGTAGAAGGTATTGGATGGAGAAGAGCCGTAATATACTATCTCGGGCCTCTCGCCCTGTGATGAATCCCGTCTGAACTTCGTGAATTGAAGTCAGCAAAACGGCTTGTAGTCTAGTTGCAGTCTAGTTGCCAGGACC